TATAAATCAATATCTTTTTTTTACGTCGGTTTACTTGCTTCTTAATTCTTACCGTTAATACCTTACATGATCTGTAGAGTTCCTCAGTGGGAAATGTTAAAGTAGAAACTTTTAGGACTCTCTTGATAGTTAGTAATAGTGTTTTTGCTGTATTACTTTTGTCTCGAATACCTTTCAGCCATATTTCCATGATTGTATTTGTGACTGCCAGAGATGAGAAATATCAGGTTGAGTATTTTCTCTATTTTTGAAATAAACCTTAACTTTTAAGTAAATATTTTGAAAATCTTATGATCATCTAACTAGAAATAATTTCTCTTTTGTATAGGAATCTATGAATCGAATAGCATCTGAAGTGTGTGATGATAATTTGAAATCCGATGATCCCCTGACTAGTTTTCTGCGCAATGCTCTATCTCTGTCGCACGATAGCGATGTTTCTGCACCTGTGAAAGCTTTTAACGAGCTAGAAAACTCAATCAAAGAGTTACGAGGTGATGTAATTGATGCCCTTAATAAGAAAGAGGCTGCTTTGAAAGAAATGTAAGTTTATATTTTTTTTTCTTGCTTAATTTTATACATATGAAATGAATCTATGATATTCAGCGTGTATATTCCGCTGTTTGTATGTTGAGATCATTTAAACTACACAATGAACCGATTAAGATAAAAATTCTATGCAGTGGCGGACTAACAACGTCGGGGGCACGGGGCGGTATCGGGCCAGGACCTACAACTTTTTCCAACCGGGGCAAAAAACTTGATATCACGCCCCCCCCCCTCACCCGCCCTCCAAAACACCAGCTAAAATTACTATACTGGACACAAGAAAGATAAGGCAGTACAACTCTAATTTATTATATAATCAAAGGAACTTTCAGCCATTTCGCGGCCATCCAGGACAAGAGGCCCGGGGAGGACCGCCCCCGCCGCCACGAAACTTATGTAATGTTATATAATATTATTCAAATTAATTTAATTTTAACAGAGGTATCGCTGCTCGTCCTATTAGAGAGTTGTTGTTCGACGGTTGCACTAAGCAGCCCCGCTGTCGGGATGCAGGTGTTGCATCACTTGCCCACAATTTGAAACAAGACATGGAGGAAACGGAAAAACGAATCCACACCGTTAGCTCACTCTACACCACCGTCAAGGTAACTAACACTCTTTTCTTAAAGAAACTTTCTTAATTGCGAATACATATGTTATTACTGCTAAATAGGTATTATCACTGGGTATTAAAAAAACCGTCTGCGACTAGATGTAAAGAAACTGCTTCCTTTAGTTTATTCTTTCTTTTTTATATTTATATTTAGTTTATTCTTTGCATCTATTCTAGCTGTTGGTTTTCCTAAAATAAATAAGAAAAATATATTTGGTCAGTCAGTTAATATAACAATTATTAGAGATATGTTTTTTACTTCAATTTAACAAGAAATGAGTTAGTTAGTATGGGCATTAGAGTGGGGGAACTACTATGTAGAAATGTACAAAATGTTATGTAACATTTCAAATTAATTTATGGACGCAATTTTTCGATTACGTAAAAATAACAAAATACGTATTTAGTATTCTTCAACAATCACCCTAAAGGACAAACAGTCAAAAATTAGTCATCATCCCTATTGGATCTATAAATATCTATACTATTAAAGATTAATACTCTTGTCAGTGGATTAATTTATTTCGCAATTAACTTGACTTCTTCGTACGACACGACGTTTACTTTTTCTTTTACTTGTTCAAAGAAGCTGCGTGTAGGTCTTTCTCTTCTTCTTTGCCCTTCTACTATATTTTTAATAAACTATCGAGTCGCAACAAGTGTCCCATCACCTTTCCTATCTTATTATCTATGGTGTCAAACAGGCTTCTCCTTTCGTTTACCATTATAAATCATGGGGTCAGCGTCCACGTCTTATAATCATATAAATAAATGCTTCAAATGAAAACCTTCATCAAGCATTATAGTGGTTTTTAATAATTAGTGTCTAATTTACTTTATTACATTTTCAGAATGGTGATAAGCATCATCTTAGGAAACTATGGCAGTGGTTCATCACAGACTGGGCTAAATTCGCTATAGCAGTCAAAGGAGTTCAAGGCAAAACTCTTTTATAAGATTATTATCATAGAATCTGTGATCGTAACTTGTTAATATATGATGTTATTTTTGATACCCTTATATTATCATAGCATAGATACGCCTGCGATGGTGTGATTTAAATATAATTATTTTATTATGTAACAGTAAATAACTGTTCCTGTTATTTTATTTGATTCCATATTACATAATCTCAAGATACTTAAACTTTATTCAGGTTTTAGATAATTAAAAAGTTGAATCCCAAAGTCTTATCCATATTAAAAATACATTTTGTTGAGATTACGAGACATTCTATATACTAAGTATAATTAAGTGCTGCCTAAAGTATTTCTTTGATCACTAAGTATTAAATAAGAAGCGAGTACGACAAGAAACTAGAAGAGTTGTTGAGAAGTGAATAGTAGTTCCGGAAGTTTATTTTATTTTATTGGAATATATATGATAAGCAAGGAGTGATTATTTTTAACTATTCATTTGGGTTGTCGTAGCAAAAATATCACCTATTTACTGTATATCTTTTATGTCATGGGATCTATTATATAATTTTCACAGATGTATTTTTGTTGCTGCTATAACAACAAATACTAAAAACAGAACAAATAAATATTGAAGGGGGGCTTTCATACAAAAAAATATTTTTTTCGAGTTTTTAAAAATAACTGTACCGAACCTCTCGCCCAACTCGACCTCGGCTGTACTTTATTTTATGACATGTCGGTGTATATTCCAATTCCGTGAATGTAACGTTGGTGCTTTTTAAAGTGTACGCAAATCGATCCGAATGGAACGCGGAAGGAGGTGTAGGTAAGGAATTTTACAATTCTTTGTATAGTGTCCATCAGGCAGCAGCACAATCTTTGATTTTGAAATTAATTCTTGACCCATCTAGCCCCTCATTTATCAATCCGTTACGAATTAGGGACAAATAATAAGTTAAAGAGAGAAATACTGTTATAGAAATCATAGAAAACGATGAAAATATAAAAGCTTTGACAGACAATCACGTACCCAGTGCGTGGTTTATCTACCAACCATATACCTACGCGATTGTCTGAGTTAATATTTAAATATTTTAGAAGTTGATCATGGAAATAAAAATGCATACTTTATTTAAAATATCTTTATTTAAATTATAATAATAATACTATCTACGTACGTAACAAAGTATAAAAATTCTCTAAATAAATACTAAGTATTTGATCACAATAATCGTACAGTCAAATTATTTATTTAGAATAAATAAATTCCTCAATTGACTATACTCGCCTATTCGCGTCTAGGAGACTCTTATTATGTTTGAGCATACCTGTCCATTACTTAAATGATTGCGAGGTGGAACAAGAATATGGTTTCATTCTTTTGTGTCTGTTAATTTTATGGTTTTTCACAAGAAAAAAAAATACACATTTCTCGTTAATAATGCTATTATTTCAAATTTAGTTTTTTTAACAATAAAAATGGATTAGTTTATTGTAAAACAAAATAAATTCCATCAAATTTATTTTGTTTTACTTTTATAAATACCATTATTTATCTCAAACTCGAATCACAAGGAAAGGTATTTTTTTTGATTTTGATTAATTAATTTTTTGATTAATTAATTTTAATTGTTAAAAAAAACTAAATTTGACATAAAAGCGCTGTTTATTTGCAACAGAAACAATGATTTTCCTCCCTAAGTTTATTTTTCAGTCATTTTTGTGTTGCAAGATTTGTGCACTTAACTTTGAATGAGTCTCATGATTTAAATTTTATTTAAACAGAGTTTATCAGTCTTAAATTGCTGAAAACTTTACATATTTCTATGTATCTTAATTTGATAGTTCTTGATTTTATTCTACCGTATTTAAAATATACAAGTTAAAACAGGATATACGACGAAACAGGCTACGATATGTCGAGTACCGATTTAGAAGTAGATCGCCAGATGTATTTTAGTGTTGATTGGTCTATGAGTCAAGACAAATTGCTTTAAAGCTTCTAAGATATTTTTTTTGTATTATTATGTTTTGTAATTGTGGAAAAATAGTTATCATGTCCCTGTTATAAAACATTATTTTGAAACTTATTTTAGGGTCCATCGTCCTGATGACCCTAAAATAAATTCCAATCAAAATTATAGGTTTATTTATTTGCGAATGCTCCGCGCCTCGAGGTCAGTCCTTTAAATTCTTAAGATAAATCACATAATAACATTTCGAAATTACACGAAATATCATTTTTCATAGAGTACATTTCTGTGAAGCAAACTGCTTCATTGTTTACTTCATACAGGTATTGAAAAAAGAGTGAGGAAGCAAGGCCTCCGGCTAACCCTCTGCTGAGAAGAAAGAAGATTACAGAACCCCATTTGTCTCTCTATTTGTGCATGCGTAGTTAGTGTGAAATGAGTCTACGGTACAACGGTTCAACTGTCTTTTACTGTTTACGCATCAGTAGAGAGAAACATAACAATGCACTCTCCTCTTTTTAACCGAGGCAAGTTTTCCTTTACTGGCAGACGATTGTCTTCCATTGTCTATCTACCATATGGCTTCCTCATGCTCGACCATTTGTATTATTTTAATTGACACATTACTTTCGGTTTCATCAATTTCGACTGTCAATAGACGGCGCTACTGTTTTTAAACGAAAATATCCATATTATTTAATAAAATTTGCAATTATAACGCTATGGTATTACATCGATTTTTACTATATCCATATTATTAAATAAAAATGATTTTTGAAAACTCAACTAAATACATATTTCAGGCATATTGATAATATTCATTTAAAACTTTAATATGGACATTTTCATTTATAAAATAAATAAAAACATCAATTTAGACCACTAACGCCATCTCTTGATAAACAAATGAAACCCTAACGCAAAGTATTTCGTGTGAGTGATATATCAATCCCACGTAGGTCTCGGTTTCTTCCTCAGAAGTGTATCTTCAGGCGCGATGTGTATGGGGTTAGTGAAGTCCACCTCTATGTTGTCCGGTATAGAGTCCATGTACATATGGTCGTTGCCGTTGTTATCTGATAAAGGAAATTATACATGTTATATTTATATTCACTATAAATATATCGTATGATTCAAATTATGTACAGGCGACTGCACGTCAGACTATACAAAATTGTTAAATTTCATGTCTCCATTTTAAACCTTAATTTATCTATGGTAGAGATCAAAATCCATTGCAGAAATTTGACATATTATGGTAACCTGACGTGCAGTCCTAATATGTGTGTGTGCATGTGCGTTGATAGTATAATGATAGAGGTTGAAACTAGGATCACCAAATTAACTGTTATCGAAAAGCGACTTCGATCGCATAAATTGATACAGTTATCGGTACGTGATTTTTTTTTATCTGTCTTGTAGTTACGGATCATATTTAATTCAAACAAAAAAACAATCAAGTTGTATCTTTCAAACTCTCTTTATAAACTGTATACTTCTTTACAGTTTAATTTTGTTTTACTCTTAAATTGTATACTTACAGTTCAAAAAAGACGAGCTTCACAAATACACGACTTTAAATTATACGCTTCGATGGGACGGATATGTTTCAAAATCTCTAATGATATATCTTGTGTATATTAAAAATAAACAAGATATATCCTTATATATCTTTGTGTTTATATATCTATGTATGAAATAAATAAATAGAATAAAATAGATAAAATCAAGGATAATAGAATGAGTAATGTAAAATGTAAGTAATTATGTACGTGTAAAATCCAGCTTAGCAATGATGTCCTCCAAGTGTTTCTGATCTAACGTGGCCTTCACTGTCACTCTGCTGGAGTCCAAGCTGCGGGTACTCCTGCGGTTGTGCGCGCGGGGCAGAAGCGGCAACGTAAACACCATCTCCGATAGCGGCGTGTTATCCGGACCAAACTCCTGTACATAACAATAACGATAACGAATTGTGAATTATATTGAATATTATAAGCCTTGAATCCAGAGCGGTAGTGGCCTGCCAAACCAAGTCAATCGAAGTGCAAGGGCTCTAAGAATAATTAGTGCAGATGATTACACTTTAACTAAAAATCGGTTTTTATTTATATTTTTTTCGCTATCAATACAATAAAAGGCCGATAGTCCTATCGATAGTGTTACTAGGAGGCGTTGCGTGTCCCGCAGGCGTTGTCGAGCGGGAACCAGCCGACATCTCCGTTGACGTGGTAGAACCTTGATTTCTCACCAGATACTTGACGCTGACGTAGTAGGAGGCGTTGCGTGTCCCGCAGGCGGTGCCGAACGGGAACAAGCCGTCGTGTACGTTGACATGTTAGAACCTGTGATATCTCACCAGACACTTGCCGCTGACGCAGTAGAAGGCGTTGCGTGTTCCGCAGGCGGTGTCGAGCGGGAACCAGCCGTCGTCTCCGTTGTCATATTAGAACCTATAATATCTCACCAGATACTTGCCGCTGATGCAGTTGGAGTCGTAGCGTGTCCCGCAGGCGGTGTCTAGCGGGAACCAGCTGTTGTGTCCGTTGACATGTTAGAACCTGTGATATCTCACCAGGCACTTGCCGCTGACGCAATAGGAGGCGTTGCGTGTCCCGCAGGCGGTACCGAGCGGGAACCAGCCGTCGTGTCCGTTGACGAGGTAAAATCTGTGCGCCGCACGCTCGTCTTGACACGCTATGCGACACGGACGGTCTGGGTCCTCTGCACAACGTTATACTAAACTTAATACCGTCAACACTACCAATGAATAAATATATAAAAATAAATATGTAAAGGACGGTCTGATCTAAGGAGGCAAATGCCTAGAGTGGCAAAACTGAGGACTTCATACGCTTGGACGGAGTTTTTAAAGCAGCTACCCAGTTATTTTTATATTATAACTTTGTAAACTTCTTCAAAAGATTGTACACCTCTAACTGTTTCCTACTTGTCAAATCCAAAGTTTATTATCGCTTCAATATTGTTATGTTTCAAAAATAATTAACTTAGTCTATTACATTAGGCGTTTAGAGCTTTCTTTTGAACAATATTTGTGCTCGTATTAGGCAGAAAAGCAAAATTTATCAAGTATAACAATTTATATACTAGTTAAAATATTAAGTATAAAGATTTCGAAATAACCTGGCACCGGTGATATTTGCATGCCCAATCCAGACAGTCTTCTAACCCTCTCCTTATATTTAGTGCATACCATAGTAGCGTATTGATACGGAGTTTTTCTTTGTGTGCAACCCTGAAAGAAAGAATATTATTTTTCATTACTTGTGGTTAACCCTGCTTCTTTAGGTTGCTTGCTTTAAGATAAACACTTTTTATTGTAGTAGTTATTAAATCATTTAAGTTAGTCAAATACTCATAAATTTGTTTAATAGATAGCTTAAATGACAACATTTAAGTATAGCAGCTGGTATTTAAGTGGATATGTAGCAAATTAGCTGTCAGTCTTAAGAGTAACATGATTATTGATATTTTGTCACAAATTATACCATAAAAAGAACCTTATTTAACTTCTGTCTAATGCTATAAATTATTAGAGTATTGCTTTCCGCTAGCGGCTTCTCCTGCGTTATCCCTGAACTATACATAATCCTTCCTTTTGTATTACTCTGTATATAGAAGAAAATCCGTTGTGTAGTTTAAAAGATATCAGCGACTGACAGCGGTAACTAGGTACTAATAATATACTGTTAGATATATTATGGTGATCTAGAACACAGGGTAGATAATTAGGTTATTTATTATGGAGGGTTGGAGGAGAGAGTAATTACCAGGTGAGGGCGAGGAGGGTCAGGGCGGCACAGCTGTATGGAGGACTGGCGGGTGGTGGAGGCGCGCACGAGCCTGACGCCGACGCCGGGACTGATGCAGTGGTAGTGACATCCGCTGGTCGCCTGCCACTGGGAGCCAACCGCCCGCCGCCACGTGCCCGACGACTTACTCCTGGTTAGGGTTACGAGATGTAAAAATCAAAACTCCTGAGATAAGGCCTAATTTCCATTGACAAATCCTGAGATTTTGTTGCAGTTTGAGGTTTTTCTCTCAAACAAAGACAAGTTATTACTGTTTTTATACACTGCTGATTTCGTGTGATCTAGTTCACTTAATACCAAGGCTAGGAAGATTACTTTTCGTTCATATAACTTTTTATTAAAAATATTTTTAAAATCCCGAGAAGAGTCCAAACATCCTGAGATATGATAATCCTACTGCTGGTACAACAACGTTTTTATTAAGTGACACCTATTCCGCACAGATGTACGTCTAAATTTGAGTAATAAAAACTAACGTTGTAGTGTGAGGTGTGGCGGTCTGCAGTTGGAGCGCCTCCCACTCGCAGTCGCCCGGTCGCAGTGAAAACTCGTTGTCGACGTTACCGTTGCACGTGAATTTCTGAAAGGAGGAGATATTAGTAAGTTAGCTTATTTACAACAATAGGAATGTCATGAAAGACAATCGTAAAAATGTGTCTTATATTGTACGCACAGCTCCTCTCTGCCTTCGTTACTAGGGATTTTGTGTAAAGATGTATACGAAAGGGGACCGCAAAGTTCTCCAAATCCTCAAATCGCAAATGTTCCTCGAAAACTGTAGGTAGTTACACAATTTACTGATAAAAATGGTGAACCTTAATATTTGTACAAAGAACCAACCTGACATACTCCTGATATGCAGAACATTGGGGACATTCTAGAACATGCTGTTCCATCTGGTAAAGTCCAACCGCGCGATTTATAGCCACCACCCCTCGTGTCACACCATACTGCGCATGCGCTGCTTACATCTATAAGTTGACAAATATATTACTAGGTTAAACACAAAAATAATTACTCGTATCGGGATTTAGGTCCTGTCACTAAATATTACAGCAGACAGCTCAAAATACTGCACAGACAAATGAGTATGAGTATACATGATCACTTTGATGGCGTTTGTTATTATAGGGTATATATTAGGTTAGGTATAGGGGCTCCAATTTTCCACATTAAGTCTCCTTTATTGGCCCTTTGTACGTGAAAAGTTGGCTGTATTTCTCTAGCCAACCCAACAAATACAAATTCTATTACCGGGACTAAATAACTTTTATAGAGGATGGTCCTCCGTACTTCAGAAGAAACGTTAAGCCGTTAGTCTTGGCTGTATCGTCATCAGTCTTAGGCACATACAAATCTGCATTGTGCTGGCGTTTGAATCGCCCCTTCTACTTTGATTTCTTTCCAAATGAATACCTGTGTTCCAGCAATGAGGATATTAACAGACACTGACAAGTACGCCTTTTATTAATTATCATACCATCAGAGTCAATTCGCTGTAGACCAGTTCCAATCAGGTCGGGATCCACGTCGCGTGCTCTGTGACATATCTGATCAGCGAATTCTCTCACAGTCATCCGAGGTACGTTGTTGCACTGAATAAAATTATACAGTTTTATTCGCCTACTTAAGTATACAAGAATGAAGAATGTTTTGAGGAATTAAAACGCATATTTAACTAGTACTGGAGTTCTTATCCGCGTTCGCTATACAGAACTGATTTAGCGTACTTCTAGCGAATATGGCTAGAGTTAAAGTTCAAAGTCAAAATATGTTTATTCGAATAAATTACTATTGAATAGACTCAAATTTTTGTCCTACCATTCGCTCCGGACATCTTTTGGCTATTATGAAGAACGAGTAAGGAACTTATCAGTTCTAATATAAGTAACGCAACAAAAACCATATCGATGGCAAGCGTTGAAGAGGCCGCAAAAGCTCTGCTGCTAAATGGACCGACAAAATACTCTTCACGCTGAATGTTAAGCTGCACAGATCATTAGACACAGATGGTGGAAAATCATAAGAGTTAAGATAAACTCCAAGAACAGGACGAGAAAGGAGGCCCTTAATTTTTGGGTTTACACGAAAGGGAGGTAATAAGCGATTCTCACCTGATGTGCATGGCAGGATTGATATTTCTTGTCGTGTCCGGAACAATAGTTGTTGCCGTTATCATGTCTATAAAAATTTCAAATAATCATTAGTAATACAACTTATATACATATTTAGAATCTGTTCATTGTGGATAAATTTTTCACTCATTACTGTTCAATTTCCTTCAGGCACTTTAAATTTCCGAACCTATATATTTGGTTATAATAACTACCTATGTGAATTGTTTTACTTTAATGGGTCATTAGTTAAATCAACGTTAAAACTAGAAATAAATGTTGAACTATAATTTTTTTGATAATAAGAAGTATCTACTGCAAGTGTTGCGAGTTCCTAAAGATTGTCCATATTATCAACTAAACTATTCCCATTTGATGGCTTCACTGCGTATGTATAACCAACAATGGGCAACTCGCCTGGGTCTGCTGCACCGCCTGCTGGCAACCGCAACGCCGGCTGCAGCGGGCGCGTGCGTGTCGTCCAACAAACAAGCCGACGCGCACTCCGACCACCCCGACCAGCGGCCCCATGAGCCCCGTACTACTGTCGACCCCTCACGTTCCACACACTCACCTCCGCGGCAATACTATCAAGAGGAACAATTGAAGTCACCAAATACTGTTAGTTACACTGGGCGATTTCTCAGAGGTGTTGGTTTGTAGGCTGTGGCGACTTAGGCAACACTCTTTAAAATATAAAGACTGCTGCACTTTAGATATTCCCCTGAATTTTATCTTAATGAAATCACATTGGCGATTTGAATGTTTAATTACTCGATTGCTCTGTCTTCAAGAGAGGAACAATTGAAGTCACCGAATATTGTTAGTTGAATTTGTTTTCTCAGAGGTGTTGGTTTGTAGGCTGTGGCGATTTAGACAACACTCTTTAAAATATTAAAGACTGCACTTTAGATATTCCCCTAAATTTTATTTTAATGAAATCACATTGGCGATTTGAATGTTCTTCAACTAGATAAAGCAATCGAGTATTCTTCAAAATCACAATATTTTGAATTATTATTCATACTCACCATATCTTCTCCACATTTGGTTCCTTCGAGAGCTGGATGTGAAGTCCACGTATATCGCTCTCTGTGACAATGAAGGTCCCTGCAAATATCTTCTAAGTTCTGGGCGTTGGAGTGACGACTGCCGCGACCATATTTTAACATACCTGAGTAATAAAATACCATTGTATTGTCTCAAATATCCTACTCCGTCTGAATTGAGTAATAATGAAATTCCCTTAACAAAATCAACTAATATTGTGCTAGTTAACAATTAACTAAACTTTGTTAACCAAAATACAGAGGTGGTTACATAAAAATAAAACTACTTTTATGGAATTGACTAATTTTTCAAAAGCAGGTCTATTTCCTGTAGAATTCGTTATATAACCGAATTTCGTGTTCAAGCTTATGATCCCTGTTCGAGTGTCTATATTCCAACTAATCATCCAATCGCAAAGACTATAATTGAAACGTATTGAGTAGATTTTATAGCACTAAGGTCCTTAAAAAACAGCACTACAATGGGAATATATTAGTAAAAACTTTAATTCTTTATATGAGATAGACACTAATATGCATTCAAAATATATAATCGTTTTAAATATGTATCAACAAAAATAAAAAAAAATATTCTAAGCTCTTCTACATTATACTCACATTGTTGATCGGCATCAAATCTTTCTCCAGGTAATATACCTTCAGCGCTATGGTCTAATTGGCCAGCTGAGTTACCATGATCGAGTAAGCATCGGGACTGGACTGTACTGTAAGTGAACATCGGTATTATAGGTCTATTTTTAAATTTATCTTACCATAGTTTCAATAGGTAAAAAAATCTATACATATTGTACATTACTATTTATTATATTTGCTTTTTTAAGTATTTGATTTGAATGTATTGATTGTCCATTTGTTTCAGTAGTTTGATTGCAATAGGACTCTTATTTCTTGTGCTACAATACCTTGTGTTTGTTATCTTACTTATCATAATAAATTGCATTATGAATAACTAAATGTTTTGTTGTTACTTTTAATAGATGATTTTGTGTAAAAGCTGCTTACTCAAGAAATTTTTGTAGATAGTTCTTGCTGCATTGCGACCATGTGATTTTACCACTGCCTAAAGTTGGGCTCATTATGTAGGCGCTGGGATCGCAACCGTTGTCAGCTTGAGGTCCATCATGACGCATGCCCAAACTAAAAGGTGGAGATTTGAAATTAGTATTAAATCCAGTAATTAATTTAGATTTGGATGTAGATTTTAGATTTATTTATATATTTTAACAAAATTATGGTAAAATTTTGATTTTAGTTTAGTCAAAAAGTCATACTAACTTGTGTCCAATTTCATGAGCCACCACATAGACACTTTCAAAGTGTCTACCTTCGTTAACAGTGCAACTACTGGTCACTGTACACATTCCCGCTACTGGTGCTAATCCTGAAAAGTTCAAGGAAGGCTATTATTTTCTATACTTTCTAATAACTTAACTAGTAAGCGAATACAACTCACATTTTCTAATGATTTTATGTCTAAAATACCTTATTGAATTTTGTTTCAATCGATCAAACTTTCATAATGATTGATATAATGACACATACTTTGTAATATTAATGTAGCCACTATTGTTGCCCAGACTTATTTTTATGAATTGACTTGCAGAATAAAGACTACATGTGCATGTTGTGGTTGAATACGAGGAGCTTCATGGCTCTCAATGGATAGTGCGCTCGGTCTGCGATACAGTTAAGTTAGTAACTTTTCAAGGGCCTGTCCTGGGTGATTGGCCAAAAATTTTACTATCACAGACTCCATGCTACAGAAGGCACGCTAAACCGTTCTGTCCCGGCTGTATCTGCAGTCATTAACACCCACCATACTGCATTGGGCCTGCGTGGTTGGTCATGGCCTGTACTTTTTATTCAATTTGATTTGATTCCATCCATAAGGATGGCCTGAACCCCAGCAGTGTATAAAGAGATATAAAAAAAGAAGAATGAAAAAGATATAAATACATATATTCGTTTTCACTTTAACCAAAGGCCAAATATTATTATTTTAATAAAATAAGATGTTTGATCAGCTCACCTACAACTTGACTGCTGACTTTTCCATTTTTGTTTACGACATATAAATCTAATCCAGTTAAAATTAATGCATGATCCCAATGCAATGGATCGTTATCACCAGGTGGATTTTCTAACCTTTGCCATGTGCAGAAATTACTCAAAAATCTATCTATATCGTGCGGCCTCTTCAAGTTGACAGGATCTTCGTGTAATATTTCTAATCTTTTCAAAATAAAATTCACCGGTCTTCCTAGTGATGGGTCGTGATATATTAGCTGTACAGCATTTATCATAGCTAAAACAAATCTAACTAATTCCCGCTCTGTATCTTTAGGAAAATTCACTATCATATGTTTATAAAGATCTCTATCTACAAATACTGCTGTCTCAACGAAAATAGCGGGTAGTATAGCTCTTTTTTGTCTTTTAGTATCGGTAACTAGTTTTTGCAAAAATGAACTAATTGTCTTATTTCTATGTTTTAAACTTAATTTGAAATCTTCTAAACTATTCTGAGTGGGTTTTTCTCCAGTTGAAATCTCCCTTTTTCTTCTGTGTTTCGTCCAGGTTTTAACATTTTGCGGGATCTCTGAAGTGTCAAGTTTTTCTCTTTCTATGCAAACACCTTCAGTTTCTTCATTGTTGTTAGTAATTGGATCAGTTAATGTATGTTTAACTATGACATGTACTTTGGAATCATTTTGATGAAATCTTTCTGGCAGTGGATGAATCATATAGTAACTGTTGTTTGATTTGACTAAACCGCGCTGTAAATAATAAAAAAGAGATTAATAAAACAAGCAATAGCTCAAACGTAGTTATAAAACAATAGGGATGACGACTGGGTAAAAAAAAATGCAATTCTATTTAGTCCATCAGTCAGATAATAGAAAAATATTAGATACGTATTTTTTTTTTACCTCAATTTAACAAGAAATAGCTTAGATAACAGGCATTAAAGTTGAGGAGTGGGGGCTCGCTACGTCACAGTTGAGTAGAAAACGTACCATAACGTGACGTCATGCGAAATTTCAACTCCATGTAATGCCGTAATGATTATGATTACGAAAAAAATAAAAAATTAAAAAAAAACAGTAAAATAAAAACAGCCCCCTGATTGTCTAATTTTAAATCTATTGCAATCGCTTTCAGTTTGAAAGGTGTTGCACAACCATTGCTGCATAATACAAATACTTTTTTTTCAACTATCTACAGAAACAAGCAATGGTTATACAACATCTCTCAAACTGAAAGCGATGGCGATAGATTTAAAGTTAGACAATTAGTCTCCAGTATTCTCATAGAACCACCCTTTTATCTGTCAGTCTTTCCTCCGTACATCTGTCATGGTTGTTTTTCGGAAACTATTGGAGTAATAGAATTGAAAGGCACACGTATGTAAATCGTTGACACAAAGACGGTCGTATAACTTTATGGTTGCCTGGAAGAAATTGCTTTTTAGCGATGAGGCCGCCGATTGTACCATTAAATTGTATCGACTATCCTTTTATTTAATTATAGTGTACAATAAAAGTATTCATTCATTCATTCAATATGTTAATGAAGTCGTAAGCATTTCAAATACCTAGTCGTGTTTATTGTTTATTATTTATAAAATGTTTTACCTGAAAATAAAACAGTTATTATATGCAGAAACCTTATTCAAGACCTAAGAGTGAGACAGCACTACTTCCGTTTCCTAGAACAGCCCTCCTCCGATACCCTCCATTACGTCACTTCCGGCAGCTCAAGTGCGGTAGAAGGTATTTTTGTTTTTGCTTGTCACCAGCAGCAGGTTTGACTCGTCATATTGTATCTCACTGGAGTCAGTAGAATTTAGCCATTAGGCAGTAATTAAAAATTAGGTCTCGAATAAGGTTTCTACATATAATAACTGTTTTATTTTCAGGTAAAACATTTTATTATATGCGCTGAACCGTTATTCGAGACCTAAGAGTGAGATGTGTTTGTTATCGCCTGGTGGCAAGTAAAGTTTTAATATTATGCCAATGTGTGAGAAATAAAGAGAACTACAAATAGAAAAACAAAGAAGAATAATACTTCTATTCCTTTATTTTCCCATAAGTAGGTAAGTAGGTGTACATAATTTGAAATAATCAAATGCAATTAATCATCTTTAATTTATATCAACCGATTACTTAAATAGCTTGAAAAACGTGAGATAAATTGGAACTCGAGTTACAATAATTACGAATTTCAGAGGAATAAAAGCGAGCAAAAGTATTCGGAGTCCGCCAATTTCCTTTTTTCATAACTTCATCAATATCATAACCATCCAACCAGTTTCGGGAAGCCGTGGCGCTACGTGTAGAGCCAGCGCTAGCCTCCACTCCAGCAGCGCGCAATAGCGATCGTACCCAGCCACTGAGTACCGTGCGAGACGCTGGCCGCGCTGGTCCTCGTGCTGTTAAGAACAGTTCACTCATATTATTGTTTTCTCGACGATGAGCTGATATTTCGAAGAGCCGTTTGATCCAATAAACAGGACATATTTTGTCGTTGTTTATTTTTATAAACTTCCATGAAGATTGTCGATGTGTATAATTGTCGGTCTTGGATCCGAACCGTGGATGTAGTATGACATGATCGTCAAACGTTTCGAAATGATCCTCGTCAATGTTCAAGAGAGTGAGATCATGGACTCTTCGGCTGGATGACAGAAGCAACAATAAAGCGGTACGTCGTGATACTTCATAAAGTGTAAGGTGCAACGGAACATTAGATGTCAGCCACAGCACAACTTCTGATGGATCCCATATGTAAGATTTTTTAGGTGTTTTACTAGCAGCCACTAATGATATGGCTTTTAAAATACGTTTTACAATAGGACTATTGCTTAATGAGTCTGTCTCGGAAGCCGTCATAGTAGCTATCACGGATTTATATACTAAAATCGTTTTGTAAGCAAGGCCTTCTGTTAAATGTAGATTAGCCAAGTATTTAGCCAATTGCGATCCCGTTGGATAGTAAATATCAACTTCCTTATCGTGACACCAATTTCGCCACTTTTCCCAAACTGATGAATATACTTTCTTTGTAGAAGTTCTCCAGCTCGAGTCTAGCAACTCAATTTCATCCAATGACCATTCATTTAGTAAGTGGTTCCACTTTTTACTGACCAAACTTCGAGACACATCTGATCCACCTGTGCAGGTGGTTTCCAAGTTTGTGTGTCCAATAAACAATTTCTCGGATGTGTTGTCCAAGGTGCGGCTATAGCTCGGCGTTTCAGGTCTGGACGCCAGAATACCTTTCTCCATCGTGGGACCACCAGTAGAAATGTGCCCTCAGCCCTGTTTAGGTGTGCTAAAACTCGAGGTACCAGGTGTGGTGGTGGAAATATCCAGGCCTTGCGGTACCGCCATTGTCTGCTGAATGCGTCGTGGTATTCTGCTTTTGAATCTCTGCAGTCTCGTGAAACATACCGTGGAAGAATGTGAGCCTTTTGAGACGCAAAGAGGTCGATCTCTGGTGTACCCAAGCGTCTGAATATCTCCCGTAACGTCGGTTGAATTAACGTCCACTCTGTCTGTCTCTGTTGTCGGGAGATCATGTCTGCTTCTACGTTGTACATTCCGGGTATATACTGAGGAACAATATGGATGTTGTTCTGTAACTTCTGTTCTGTGTGTTCTGATCTAGCAGTTGATATAGCATCCCAGTCATTTGAAGGAGAGTATGTAGCTCACGACACTTTTGTTGTCGGATTGTATTAGAACAGTCGTCTTTCGAAACTGTGTCGCAAACGTTTGAACAGAATTGATTATTGCCCACATCTCTTTTAGATTGCTGTGCCATGTTATCTGATCGGAAAGCCAAGAGCCTCCCGTCCAATGAATACCGTCTACTACTGCGCCCCAGCCGGTGCCTGAAGCATCCGTAGTCAGAAAGTGAGCAGCGGGTGCAAAATGAATCGGCGTACTTGCTCCCATGGATTCTAGCCACCACTGAAACTCTGTCAAGACCTGGGGTTGAATTATGCTCTTCGACAGTGGTTGATCTTTTTGGAGCCGATAACTTGCTTTTTGTAAAGAGCGGCAATGAAGTCGACCTCTGGGAACCGCAAACGAGGCAAAGTTTAGCATTCCCAATATTCTCTGAGCATCCTTGAGACACCAAAGACCTTGACCTAGAAGTTGCTCCAATTTTATTTTGATTCTTAGTCTCTTTTTGGCGGGTATATATTTGATATTTTGTCTGAGGTCCCATGTGACGCCCAGATACTCGATCGTCTGAGTTGGAGCCAATACTGACTTTTTGTAATTGATACTCCAACCAAGTGAATTCAGAATTTGCATGGCTTCCGCAGCCTGTTCTTGCAACATTGCTTGGCTCTGATTGACAATCAGATAATCGTCGAGGTATACGATTACCCTCATACCTCTGTTGCGCAAAACCTCTGCTACCCAGTTGGAAACTGTCGCAAATGTCACGGGTGCTGACGAAAGGCCGAACGGTAAGCTGGTGATTTGTAAAAGTTCCGGTTCTGTTGCAATTTCTGACTGGTATAAAACCCTCAGGAACGGCAGATGAGAGCGAGCCAGTGGAACGTGAAAATAGGCCTGTGAAAGATCTATTTTTATTGCCCAATCGCCCGGTTGCAGAAAATCCGGCACCCGATTGACATTGATTAATCTGAACTTGAACTGAGCTAGAAATCGATTCAAGTTTTTTAGATTGAATATTGGCCTGTTGCTGGTATCCGATTTTTTCACAAGGAACATCGGACAAATAAAACTCGGAGTCGGCGGCGCGGGTATTAGTATATTTTGATTTTTTAATTTTAAAATTTCTCGTGACATTTCTGCACTTGTTGGTGTCTGATATTTTAATAAACGTTTGTGATTGATTAATGGCGGTATTTTGCAAAATGGTATTCGATAACCTGATATTATTTTTAGAATATGTCTTGGCGCATTTAACTTTTTCCAGCAGTTTATGTAATCTTTTAAACAACCGCCGTAAAACGAGTTTTGTCTCCAGTCATTTGCGAAATCTACTATTACTATTCCTGCCAGTTGAATTATTAAATTTACCATCCCGATGTTTCAAATTAAATTTGTTATTGTTTGTTGCGAATTTCTTGTTTTTATTAACATAATTATTGTTTTTATTTGATGATGGACCCGGAACAGGTTCGACATCATCATAAATGCGTTCGCGTGGTGTCAGCTTCCGCAGCCGCTTAGCGCGAGTAACATTATTTTTATTTTGAAAAGACATAATGGGCTCATCCGTTGAGCGCTTGTTACTATGAAACAACTTGTTTGTACCACCCGCTCTTAATAAGAAGGAACTCATTATTTCTGAATTAAATAAATTCGTGAGGGTAGGTGGAATTTTCCGCAAATCTTCTTTAATATAGCGATCCTTAACACTCGATAGTATGCTATCTCGGCGTTTTTGTATTGTATCAGCTCGTCTCCCACACACAAGTTGAAGTATGTCCTCGGAAACCTTTATGTACTGTGATTTCTCAGAAAATAATTCACTTAGTTTATTAAATAATGAGTCCGAGGTCAAAACAGTATCCGACTTGTGAGACCATTCTATTATATTTTGTAAATTATTCTTGAAAAACTCATTTTGTTGTATTACTGCATGAGTTAACGCACCGTAAGAACGGTCTAAAGATTTTAGCCAAGTAGAATCAGGATCATAAAATCTTAATTCAGTATTAACATCCAAGTCTTGAAATCCAGGTTTTGCAAGATACTTTTTCTCAGTGTCAATATACCTTACGCGATCCCAATCATTCGTATCGAAATAATGTAATTTCGATAAAATATTTAGCCTAGATTCGGAAGCATTATCAATCGCAGCTTCTTTTAAGTTAGTGTTGATGTTACAAATTCTAAATCGTTATCTAAGTTCTGTAAACTATTGAACTGATCCTGATCCTTCAAATATTTAATAATTGTACTCACTTGATTCGCCAATGATTCAAAATTTCGGTCACTTTTACTTTGTTTTCGCCGCCGATTACGTTCTTTATGATGACGCCGTGGCCTAGATGATGAACTGCCGCTGGATGTTGACGACGAGGACGTAGACAGACTGGTGCTCGAACTGTCATCACTGACCGACGAATTCGTAGACGAAAGACGACGCTTTCTTGGCCTGGGAGCCTCTCTATGCGTTTCTCGGGGTCTAGAAGCCCCCTGAGTAACTCTTTCCTGTTCACCCAGCCTAGAAGCCTGCTTTGGTGACAAATTATGTTGTCTGGGCCTAGAAGCCCGCTCAGGAGTTCCACTCATGATATTTAAAATTTAAAATAAACTTGTAATATCTACCTACAATTTTTTACGAACAACAACGTTGTTAATAAGGAGGTGTTCACTCGACGAAAGTCGATGCCAATGTGACGAGTCAAACCTGCTGCTGGTGACAAGCAAAAACAAAAATCCCTTCTACCGCACTTGAGCTGCCGGAAGTGACGTAATGGAGGGTATCGGAGGAGGGCTGTTCTAGGAAACGGAAGTAGTGCTGTCTCACTCTTAGGTCTCGAATAACGGTTCAGCGCATATAATAACTTAATTAAGAAGCTCCAATACTAATAAGCCTAAGATTTTAAGACAAAAGTTCTTTTAAAGTCCTATAATTACCACATCATCACATAGATAAAGCGCAGCATTATCACTTTTATAGTAGCATTGATCCAGTTCCTCATCAGTATGTTGATCAAGAACAGCTTCTGTATTATTGGACCATCTTCTCATGAGCAGGAACTGTGGATCTAGGAAACTGTTTCTAGGACTCAACTTCACATCTAGATGTTTCTTTAATCCGACTAGATCTTGATGTTCGTGAAACAAGGATCTTTTGCGGCGTTTTGGTGATTTTAAATGAGCTATCTCGAATTTCGCTTCTGTGGAATAAATTCGTTTTAATTATTAAAGTATTTTTTTTAATAATTAAACCATAATTGATGTGACCTTGATGAAGGAGAGAATACAAATAGTAAATAGTTCTCAGGAAATTAGACTGAATTTGAAAACATTAAATATGAAAACAATTACGAGTACAATGGATGAGTGTCAGTCGTAATATAACTGTTGGAGAGTTGATGAAGTATAATTTATATAAATATTTTCTCACCATTTGGGTTGGAACCGAATAAGAATATCTTTTCTGCACTAGTTAGATGTTCTAATAGCTGTTTCGTGTGCTCCTGTAACAAATAAAAAAAAATAAGTGAGAGAAATATAGTTTATGTTGAGTAGTTAAAAAGCTTAGATAAAAAAATGACTTGAGCGATTGTAACAAATAATTTTGAATAAAAAATATTTAAAATGTAATTTTAGACCTTGTTGACTTAATTATAAATAGGAAACGTTATACTCTTCTGTTCTGAAATCTCAAAGAACGAACTTCTATAGAAAATACTGCCGTAATTAGCCGGACTTCAAACACGCTGATTCTCAAATTGTAGGCCAATCACAAAAATTAACTGTAGAGATTTTCCAAACAAACGCCAATTTCATTTAAAATAAAGTGGCACTGATATTTGCAGCTATTGTAAACAGGAGAGCCAAACGTCAAAACTAGTCTTGTCTAAATGTAGACCACTGATTCACAAACGAAGTGATCATCTGGGGCAGGATAAGCTCAGAAGAAATAAGATCTGAAAGCCAGGAAGATCATATACTTTTTAGAGGCTACCAGGCTAAAAGAGCTACTATAATTCAGGCTGTGAGTCACACAATAGCATAAAAAATAACTAATAATAAGCATTCTGTGATTGATTTTGAAACGTAGTTAAATTATTGTTGTTGATACATTTTGCATTCATAATACGATACTGAAAAATATTCCTAATGAGTTTTCATTGCTTCAACAATTCCAACCCATCAAAAAATGCTCAAGTCCCATCTCAGAATGCCAGGGACAAAGTGGTTTTTCTATTGTTGCAGATCGTAAATAAACAAATTTCCACATCTCAGAATTTTCTTGAAGCATATCATGTCATAGATAAGTGAGTTAATCTAAGAGTATTCTTCAAAGAATCGATGCTAAAGAAAAGCTAGGATGCACTCTAAGTCTGCTATCAATGATGACCACCTCGGAAGTACTAACTCCGAATTTCATTAACCTTGGCTTCGTCTAATTACAGGTAGCTAAACAATTGTATGAGCATGTCATTGGTATTATGAGAAGTAGCCTCGACACGATAATTTCGACAATGGACAGTTTCGCACGGAGCTTGCGATTAATCGGATCTAAGGAAGGGGCTAAGTTGGGAGATTACTATCTATTCGATAGAGGGAGTCGAACGTGTAGTAGAAACGTTGTGATTACTTTGAGGTCAGCCAGTGATGACCAATGGCTGTTAACATTGATGAATATAATGAGACAATTGAAAAATAAATAAAGTTAATTTAAATTTACGTATATGATTTACGGAAGCGTTAATTTTGCCGTGTAGTTTCTATAAATGTTTGGTAAATATTATTAGCATTGTTCTCAGTTTAAATAACTACTTTAACACCAGTTATTAAAGTTACTTTTTTAAATTTGTATATATACCTATAGATAGACATAGTTTCAATGGCGTTGCTTGCTTGGCCGCATGTTGCATCAACGTCTTAGAGGGTAGGTAAATTGTATTATTGTTATAAATCTGTATAGATGATTAGTATAATTTAATTTTTATTTCATTTATACAAAATAACATAAAACAATATTAATTGTATCGGAAATTACAATATACCTACAATCATTTAATAATTTAAGTGCTCGTAGTAGTAAGTTAGCTGGTGTGAGGTATTTTTAAAAAATATGGCCTATCCATTATAAAAATCTTAAAAATTAGACTTTATTATTTTGTAGAATCCAATACTAAAAAGTCCAGATTTCCAGTTATGCAATCACTGTATAGTTTACCCTAAAATATAACATTATCTTATTTGTGGTAAAGCTCGCTTAAGCTTGTAATTTGAAATACTATAAAAAGTATTGATAAAAGGTGGTTCTTGCATAATGAATGCCTAAGTAGTGTTTTGTATTGACTAGGACCTACAAGGTTCTATCTTATTTGGCATTGCGCATTGTCTTTTTTGCTTATGATGGATAAACATTGTAATTTAGATGTTTATTGTGCAAAAATTCACGATTAATCGTGTAGATTACGTTTTATTGGTATACCTAAACATTGCCAAAATATTAGAACTATGGGTTTCGTTTACGGAGCAAATATTTCTATCGGATAATATGTTGTATTGTACCGCCTTTTAAATGATTAATTAATTTCAATTTTATGAAGCTTTGAAATATTTTTTAATAACTGCATATTTTAAGTGAACAATTTAATTTGATGTAAACAAAAAACTTATAAAAACTTTATATTATTATTTGATAAATTTTGCATTCACTATTTGGATAAATATCTAACAAAGGTAAAGGCTTAAATAAACTCAGTAGTCCCAGGTACTCCGAGATGGGATTCGAACCTTTCGCAATACGGGCGACTGCTCTACTCCCTCTCAGTCTCTACTAGCTCAATGGTTAGAACTTATTTGAATTTGACTATTATTTTTATAAATCAATTTGAATTTTTCATGAGTTCTCTTAAAGCTTTACAGTGCTATTAATAAACAAACCTTCCAGGAGTAAATATTACTCCCGTAGAACCTCGTACTTGGTGAATCTGCTAAGTTTAACAATATGAATCTTGACTAAGTGCAGTCTCAGTGTAAATTTATTCCAACGCTAAAGTTTATTTATTAACAATACTTACTGTTACATTTTTATCAATAAACATATAATAAAACAGAGACTTAGAAAAGGTTAACCTAGTTCGAGGGTCACGGGAGTAATATTTACTCCTAGGTTTGCTTATTATCTTTATAATATGAATTTGGACTAATACTAAAATTGCAATTTTAGCATAATTAGATAATGGAAAACTGTTTCTGTAGAAATAATTCGTTAGTGTAAGCTTGCGATTAAAATGGTATTGTCATTAACTTTTACCGTATTACGTATTTTAATTTAATACTTTCATTATAATAAACCGATTTTAATTAATATGATCGGTGGTCATTGAAAAGAATGGAACCATTTAGACACAGTGAAATAGTGACGGTATTTGAAATTTAGCTATAATTTGTAGTAACACTCTTAAAATTATAGCTATTAGAATATTATATAGCTCCACACCTAAAAAACACACAAAGCAACATACTGTATATTGTATTTTATCATGCATGTGTGTTAAAATATAAACTGGATGAAAAAAAAAATTCTTCATATACTAATGTTCTGTAAAGTTTATTTTTATGTATGCAATAAAGATTTTATATATCTAATACAATTCTTTGTATAAAACTGATTGAAAGTTAGTGATTATTGGTTGATACTCCCTCTTAAGCGGAGTATACTTTGAAGTAATTTTTGTAACAACGTTAGAATTGCTACAATAATAACTATAAGACTAGATTACAATTATTGAAATGAAATATTCATTCAAACAAGTGTTTCATTTGAACTTTATGTGAAGGCTTTATAACAGAAAATTTATTCAATTTAGCTGTTACAAAATGTTGCTACACTGTTTGGGCGTATCAACTGTGCTCTCTGCGTTTTAATACAACGTTGCGATTTGCCACGAGTAGTTTGATACACTTCTTGCGCAAGAAGTTTTGCTATAATCATAATTGCTTATTGCTTTCATTGTAACAGGTCGTTTAGGTCTTGGAAAAGTATCGTCGATGCTTCTCGAGACGAATTGGAATTAATTTAGTTTTTAATTGTATTAAACTTTGTTTTAAACCATGTAAGTTTTTCAATCCGTGGGTCAACACTAGAGCAAAATACAACTTTAATCAGAAGAATGGACTTATTTATTTTTTGGAACTTTTATTTAATTTGCAATGTATGTGTGTTTGTTCGGGTGGAATCTTTAAACTCAATTTTGAAGTAGATATCTAGTAAGTATTTTCAACCGATTGAGCTGAAATTTTGTAAACACGTTTAGTTTGGCAACAACGCAACACACACCTTGTGTCACATAATTCTAAATCCAGTATGGCGGCCTATCCAAGACGGCAGAACAGTTATTTTTAATGCACTTCTACAATATGGGTATCAAATGAAAGGGCTTCTTGAGGGTAACTTGAAAAAAAAGTAAAAAAAACTTTAAGCTTTTATTTAAACGATCTAAAAAGAAGTAAATCAAATTATCCTTTTAAATTTTAATTACCAACTTATAACTTCATTATACACTTATATGGTCATAAAAGCTTTTCGCGAAGTTTAAGTACCTATGAATAATAAATTAAATTGAAATTTTAAAAATTAAATCATCAGGTTTTTATAATTGTCGTTTATTTACACGAGTAAATCGCGCGCGAAGCTTTTATGATCATATAAATTGTGTATAATGAGGTTGTAAGTTGGTAGTTAAATTTAAAATTGAAATGGTACTTTATTATATTCTTTTTAGAGCGTTTAAATAAAAGGTTTTTTTATGTTTTTTGCTTTTAACTTAAATGTAATATAATATCATAATGCTATTTTTTTGAATCTACATTCATAATTATTCATTGATTAACATTTAAAAATAGCAAAGTAAAATGTAATTTAAAGACTACTCTTTAAATTACATTTTACTTTGTTTATAGCCCAAAGGGGTCGCAAAAATTCAATAAAATAATTCTTTATTGAATACAAGATATTCTATATAAATACAGTACATACGCCACAGCAACATCCAAACATTAACACATCCTGTGATCTGTGAACACATCTATAATCAAATTAACATTACAAATAGATTTTAAGTTGTGACTCAAGTCAATTGTATTTTTTTGGTAAATAATTATAAATGTAAAATATAATAAAAAAATAATTCATAATGGAATGTTCAATAATAAAAAAGAAAAATATATATTATGTCAACGGTGCATCTGCATTAAAACAAACTTCAGTTAAAATAAGTATAACATTAAATTTTAGGTAATCACGGAACACAATAAGAAAATAACGACGACAAATAATCAGAATAACAAAATACGGTGCATGGTAAATAATGTATGAGTCTCATTTATTTTCTTTCATAAATCAGAAAAAAAACATCTATTATGTATTTACCAACTTTAAAAGCTTCTTCTGAAAAAAATATTGTTCCGTAACAAAACAGATGCTTTTTTTAACTATAAAATACAACATGACTGTGGGTAATTTTTTTATTATGTACTGGTTAGGCGATTAGCTGTCTTCGTTCCAAATCCCTTAATCCATGGCTGACGGTTTTTTACTGTGAATACAAATTCCTAACGGTGCACAATTAATTTTTGATTGAGCTTGGTGAATTGTTCGTTATTGAGAATAAGGACATTTTCGGAAGAATTTCATTGGATCAGTGCCCATGGACTATATACAGTGTATGATATCTTCGCTGGGTAACCGCGTCGACGCACCCCTTTCCAGAACCTAGCCCTCGGAACCCGTGGTGGTAAAGGATCGCTTGCGGTGAGTCGCCAACCTCAGCTTAAAATCGTACAAATGTGTTGTTTTTATTTGATTATCGAAATAAAAAGATATAAAATTTAATATACTACTTACCTATTGTAGAGAAATGGAACTGGTTCTAGTGAGCGTTATTTAAAATCTGATCGAAACGGTACTACCTATCTACAGTATATATTTTCACTTTCTCTTGCTCTAAGGCTATTTGATATTCAAGTATAGTAAGGAAAGCAATTCAAGTAATCGCAGTACAAGCAAGGAAAGCAGGAATTTGAAGTGAGATTAGAAATTTGGTCTTATTGTTAAGAGGTTCGGAATAAATGAAGTTAGTTTTAGGCATGTGAAAGGTTTTTTTTGTTTATCATTAAGTAGAGAGTGATATCTTCGGTTCTCAATATCTGCGTAGGTTATTAGTATATCATTATTAGCAGCTTCGTCTGCGTGGTTAACATGAATTGTTAGTATTATTATCCCTGAGAACCTTTTAGTGGGATAAAAAGCAGTATGTGTGATAATCAAGGCTTAGAAACATCCATATACTAAATTTCATTAAAATACGTTTAGTATTTTTGGTGTGAAAGAATAATAAACATACGTACATTATCACAAACTTTCGCATT